CATTTTTCACTTTGGCCGGCTGAGCGGCTTCAGTAATTTCCTTGGAGAAGGCCGACGGCTGTTCCCCAAGTCTAAGCAACCGTAGCTGCCAGTCCATAGGTTGGACATTATTTGCTGCATGCCCTCCAAACAAAGGTGGCTGCAAAAAATATTGTTGTTGCGGTACAAATGGTAAGTTTGGTACCGCCTGGTCACTATGAAAGCCGGACTGACGGGAGGTACCGCCTGAATGACTCTCATGATACGACTGAGTATATCTCATCGAGGTATTGCGTAGACTGTCTTGGAAGTCTGAAGTAGAGGCCGACTTTGACAATCGGTCATTCTTCTTCTACTCTAGCAATAGCCGAGCATCTGTGTATGTTTTCTTCGACCCGTCCGCCTGAATATGACGAACAGGTTTCCTCTTTCTTGGAGTAGGAAAGCGATACTTTGTGAAATCAAGGACAGGCGGCTCCCACTTCCTAGAGTTAGGATGAGGGATCGCCTCTCGCCATTGAACAGGCTTCCTCTTCCCTGAAGAGGAAGGTTTCTTAGCCGACTGCTCCTTGGCCAGAGCAGGAGGCTTCTTCTTGAGCAACTCTTGAATCTCTCCCTTGAAGCCCCTCATGAAGGTCATGAGTTTGTTTCTTGTAATGGGAGCAGACCCATCAGCCGGCTACTGCTGAACAGGCGGTGCGCCGGCTGGATCACTGAGTCCAGTTTGAAGATCTTCCCGTTCTCTCCTTTCGGTATGACGGGTGCGTCGGGCCCTTAGGGTCCCGTCTGAAGCTGTGTGAGCTTCAACTTCAAATTCTTCCTCAGTATCATGGTCCGACTAAACTTGAGGGTCGTCCAGGGGACGCCTCTCTTCAGGAGTCGGTACAGACGTGGATGCCATCTCAGAAGTACTCTCCCCACAGACGGTGCCAAAATGTTTCGGGGTTTTCTGATGACCTGCGGGAGAGTTACAATTCTGAGACTGGAACCGGACGCCTGTACCTGCAAAACAAACGGATGCTCCGGACAATTGGAGATCCGCCTCCGACGGTCAAATTAGTACTTGATTAAGGAGTAATTAATGCGGAAATAAAAGTAATTGGGTCTCTCTAGGTGAGAGTGTTAAATGTGCGTAATCTCCCTTAATGAGGATTAATGGGCATATTTATATGCCTTGGGATGCGTGCTAGTACTAGGTTTAGGTTAAACCTAAGGCTGACTGGGCCTCCCACAATGATTGGGCCTTGTTGGCCGGTTTTCCCATTTGGCATGGGTGGACACGTGTCACATTGCAATTGGTCCAAGGAGGACGAATCTCTTGATGACACATGGCAGGCTCCTATTGGCCTACATGAAGGACACGTGGCGAAACCTGGCTGGCCCACGTGTCGGATGCTGATTGGTGGATAAAAATCCCCTAATCAGTATTCATGTGCGCTTTTTGACTAACATGCAATCAATAGGATTAACCCTAAACCTGTTTATCTATGTTGGTTGAATATTAATGCACATATAAACTATTATTGGCGATCACTTGAATTATAATCACAATTAACCCTAAACAAGATTATTAATTATCCTATTAAGCGTGATTACAAGTATCAATTCCCTTTAAACATGCAACAAAAGGTGTGATCAAGCAATAATTATAAATAAACATCAAGCAACATAATAATAATCAATATCATGAATAATAATTAATAACCATAATAATAATCATGTTGATCATAATAATAATTATTATAACAACAATAAAATTATAATCATAATCAATATAGTTATAAATAATATCATAGATCATGTTAGAGCATAATAATAATAGCAAGATCCGATCCTAGCATGTCACTAAACAATAAAAATCAAAGCTTTAACCCTAACATGATACTAACAATCATAAATATTAGGAAGAGAATAAAAGGCATCACAACAATCATATTAAATGTTAAAATTACCCTAGACATGATACTAGGAATATCATAATAACAATGTAAACATGATTTCTACATCATAACATCAATTAATCAATTAAAGTACTTACTTTGATGCCTCGTACCTCTTTCTAATAACAAAATACACACGTTAGTAACTTCAAGGAAAATAATAAACAAACAATCAAATTAAATAATTGAAAGAGAGATTAGGGACCAAACCCTCAGAAATTAAAACCTTTCACGTCTACGGCAAAGGCAACTTCGAATATGGCTAGGTGTTTCTAGATCTTGTGAATGCAGAATTTTGTATGAAAAACAAAGTAAGAAAGAATTGAATGTTTGTTTTAAGAGAGATGAATTATTATTGGTGAGAATTGGTGTAAATCGGTGAATGATAGATGTAGATGATGAATCTTGATGAATGAAAACGGAGTTTTTAATACTATATTTATAGAGAAAATCAGTCAAAAAAGATAAATTAACAAAACAGAGTCTGACGCTCAGAAAACAGAGTTGGCGCCAACCTGGCTAGCTGGCGCCAGGCACCAGCACTAGCGCCAGGCGCCAAGCCTGGTTCCAGGCGCCAAGGCTTGGGGTTGGACGCCAAGCTTGATTCCAACGCGTTTTCGAAAATCCGATAAGTTTACCGTACTAGAGGATAAAATAATATAATTTCTTCGAAAATGCTATTTGATTTTGATTAAAACTCTGAAAAGTCAACAAAGTCAACTTATCAATGCTAATTGAATTAGGAATGAAAAGAACCTTCTAGGAGATTCTAGAAGACTAAAACCATTCCTAATTGCATTAGGAATGATAAATCATATTAGGCCCTCCCCTAGATCATTGGGCCGTACATAAAGCTCAAACCGGGCCCAGTTTGGTAAATTGGCCATAACTTCCTCAATATTCATCGGAATTGGGCTTATAATATATCGTTGGAAAGGTCTTTCCAAGCCCCATCCAACTACACCACTATTGGACCCATATCACGGACCAACCAAACTGGATTGGCTGTTTCCTTAAAATAAAGTTTTCAAAAATAGAGAGAAGAGAAAAGAAAATAAAAACTTTCCGCAACACTAGACCTTTCCACACTTTCTTTTCATTCGATTATGATTCGACGTGAAAGGCACTCATCACCGGGTTTGGTTTTGGGGAGACACAAATGGGTGTCTACAATATGCTTGATGCTGCTTTCCTTGTTTATTTCAATCAAGTCGTTTTGCGTATTTCTTGCTGATTTATTGGTCTTGGATTGGTGCCCTAAGTACAATGGGTCGTGTGATAATACGGGTCCAACAATTGCCCTTAATTTTTATTTTCAAGTTTTTGGAAGTGAAAATTACCTAAAAAGCCATTGGAAGGATTTTGAATTTTTCAGAAATTATTTCAACGGTTAGCAAAATAGGAAACGTGATGGAAGTTTTAAAGCAACTTCCTCGATAACCGTTCATGGCAATTTATTTCTTTTTTTGGTATTTATTGGGTGTGCAGGCTCTTGTCTAATCACTTCATTGCTTTGCCCCAATTTCGGTTTTCACCAGGTATTTTCTCTCTCTTCTCTGTTTCCTCTGTTTCTTTACTTCGTTGTTTTCTTTTTGTTTTGTGATGGGTGATCATGTAAAAGTGGTGTTTGCTGGGGTGGATGAGGGTGTGAAAAAGCCGTCTTTGGTGGCGCATAACGTATTTGTTGACCCTTATGAGGTTTTGATGATGATGTTAAGAATTGAGCAAACTTCCTTTTAATAAGGATTTTCTAGTGTTGTGATGTTTGCAGGTTCAGTAGGCGCTGAGGGCTGAAGTAGGAACTGGGACAAAGGAACTTTAGAAGATCCATGAGGACAAGTAAAAGACAGAAGAAGAGTTCCAGTAATGGAACTTCCCGAAGTTTCTCAACAGGAACTTCAAAACGGGTTGTAACGACCTGGTTCCGGTGTAATGCTGGGGCAAGCCTCAATAACCAAGGATCAGTGCAAAGATCGAGATATCAACTGAAAAGATGGACTTCATATCTTATAGTTGTATAAAAGATAAGTTTGTTTTATAGGTTGATGTAAACCCATTAATGGTAGTTGCGTATGGAACTTATTAGAAATCAAATAAAGCTTGGCAAACAAATTAATTCGTAAAAGATAATTATAAGTTTTATGAAAAAGTATTTATTTGATTTTATCTTTTAAAATCTGGTTTAAATCGGTTTTATCTTTTTTGATAAAATTCTATCTTTTAACAAAAACAAATTTGATAAGATTTGGTTTTTAAATAAAACGAAATTAAATCTATTTGGTTTTGGTTTTTAAAGAGATAAGATTAGATTTCAGTTTAACTTATCTTGTTTACGAAAACCTTACTTTGTGAGCTGAAGGACCTCTATAAATATAGAAGAAATTCAGTGAAGTAAAGTGAGAGTTTTAAGCGTGAAAACCACTTAGTGCTTAAGAGTAAGTTTGCCAAAGGTTTAAGCTTTATCATTTTTCGGGTTTCATGTGTAGCTTTCCATTTATGTGTTAGAGTGTGTCTTTGCTTTGTAATTGGTTTTGGGGTGAGATTGTGAATTCTCTTAATTTCACGTTTGAGTGTATGAGTTTGAATTCTCTAAAATTCGAGTGGTAGTCAGTCACCCCGAGTGTGTCTTGGGTTGCACAGTGGGAAAAAGGAACCTAAGTGTGTCTTAGGTCGAGAAAGGAACCTGAGTGTGTCTTGGGTCGAAAAAGGTGCCTGAGTTTGTCTTAGGTCTAATAGGATAGGTTCTTATCAATTAGCAAGTGTCTTAGGAGGAACTTGCGAAGCAAAGGTCTGTGTAATAAGTTGTACTAGGAGAGTTGCCTATTATAGTGGAATTTGTTTATAAGTCCCAATAGGGCCGAGGTTTTACTTCCAGTTAGGCACTGGATGGTTTCCTCGTAAAACTTGTTGTGTGCTTTAATTTTCTTTATGTTTTTATTGTTTATTTCCGCATAAGTTCTGCGATTGGAACCTACTACCATTCACCCCCCTCTCGTAGTAGTTCATCTAAACTAACAATTGGTATCAGAGCAGGTTCTCACAAAGTTACAAGCAACCTTGTAGAGTAAAGTTCCTGAAGAGATGAATGCTCACGAGAAACTTGAAGAAGGGTATTCTACCCAAAGACCACCGATGTTCAATGGCAAGTTTTATTCATACTGGAAGAATAGAATGGAGATATTCATCAAAGCTGAAAATTACCAAGTATGGAGAGTCATTGAAAGTGGTGACTTCGAGGTAACAAAAACCAATGCAAACAAAGAGGTAATCCCTAAACCAATAGCTGAATTTGATAAAGAAGATTACGAAAAATATGAGTTAAATGCTCAAGCAGTGAAAATCTTGCATTGTGGACTAGGACCTCATGAGCACAATAGAATCATGGGTTGTAAGTCCGCAAAACAGATTTGGGATTTACTGCAAGTAACACATGAGGGAACAAATGAAGTTAAACATTCCAAAATTGACTTACTAATGTCAAAATATGAAAGATTTGAAATTCTACACAAAGAATCCATTCAGGATATGTTCACTAGATTTACTAACATTGTCAATGAGTTAGAATCTTTAGGCAGGTCCATACCCATTGATGAACAGGTAAGGAAAGTCCTTAGAAGTCTTCCCCAAGATGAGAGGTGGAGATCCAAGGTCACTGCTCTGCAGGAATCCAAGGACTTCACCAAGTTCAACCTTGAACAGCTCAATGGTTCCCTGCTCACTCATGAACTCCAACTTGGAGCAAACTCTGAAAGTTCCAAGAACAAGAGCCTTGCTCTAAAGGCTTATGAATCAAGCGACTCTGAAAATGACGATATGGAAACTGCCATGCTTGTACGGAGGTTCAGGAGAATGCTAGAAAAAAGAGGAGAAAAGAACAGACGAGGACAGCCAAGTTCCAAAGAGTTCAAATGCTACAGATGCGGTTCCAAAGAACATCTTCTCAGAGACTGCCCTAATCCTAAGGAGGAAGAGAAAACCAGCTACAAAGGCAAGGAACAGAACAAGTACTACAAATCATCATTCTCCAAGGAAGATGTAAGAAAAGCCATGATGGCTGCATGGGGAAACTCTGAGTCAGAAGATGAAGGAGAAGGAGAATCCGTAGAAGAAACAGCCAACTTGTGTTTAATGGCTAAAGCAGATGATGAAGCTCGTATGAAGGAACTTGAATCTGAGGTATGGTATGACTATCGACAACTCAAACATTTAAATAAAGAAAATTTTATGGACATTATTCTGGAACTTCAAGAGGATTGTAAAGAACTAAATAGGTCGAAGTTCCAAACTGATCAAGCTTTAAAAATCCACAAAGAACATAGTGAATGGGTTGATAATATGAAAACTGATGTTCAAACTAGATTCTTTGATTTATATGATAAAAATGTCCTTCTAAAAGAACAAGTTGAAAAACTATAGCATGACAATATACTGTTAAATGTAGAGCTGGCCCAGTTAAAACTTGGAATTGACTTTCCTGACACTGAAGTTCCTATTGCTAAACAACTTCCAAATTTTGAGAAATTGAAATCAGATTTGGAAGAAATCAAAATAAAAAATCAAACCTTGGAGGAGGAACTTGCAAAAGCTAGGAAAGGCAAAGAAGTGATTAATAATGGAATTCCATCTTGGATAGCTAATACTCCAAACAAGAATAAAGAAGGACTGGGTTATAAAAAGAAGTCTAGGAGAAATAGGAAGTATGTAGATCTACCCAGTCAAAAACTATGTTACTATTGTGGTAGTACAGGACATCTTCGAGCTGCATGTCCTAAGAGATTTAAAGATACTCTTAAGAATACTGAGCATGCTGAATAGGTCTGGATGAAGAAATCTGACTCTTCTTCCAAAACAGTGGAACCCAAGGAAACCTGGGTTCCAGAAACTAACACTTAGTTTTCATGCAAGTTCCAGTGAGGGGGAACAACACTTGGTACCTCGACAGTGGTTGTTCTAAGCACATGACTGGAGACAAATCTAAATTTCTCTCATTGGATGCCTACTATGGAGGAATTGTGACCTTTGGTGATAATAAGAAAGGTGAAATCATTGCTATAGGTAAAGTAGGAAGGTCAAGTTCCCATGCTATTGAAAATGTTTTTTTAGTCGAGGGTCTTAAACACAACTTGTTAAGTATTTCTCAATTTTGTGATAAAGGTAACTCAGTTAGCTTTACTTCTAATCTCTGTAGAATCATTAACAATGACACTAACAATATTATTCTTGAAAGAACCAGAAAAGGGAACACATATATTGTGGATCTCAATGAAGTTCCAAGTAGTAGTTTGACTTTCCTTAGTGTCATTGAGAATGATCCCTTATTATGGCACAAACGATTTGGCCATGCTAGTTTTTCTTTGCTTGATAAACTTAGGTCGAAAGAACTTGTGGAAGGACTCCCGTCCATCAAGTTCCTAAAAGATAAAGTCTGCAGTGCATGTGTTAAAGGTAAGCAGACACGAATGTCTTTCAAATCTAAGAATATGGTAAGCACCACAAAACCATTGGAACTTGTCCATCTGGATTTGTGTGGTCCCATGAGGATACAAAGCAAAAGTGGCAAAAGGTATGTGATGGTTATTGTAGATGATTTTTCCAGATATACCTGGGTTTTCTTTCTTATAAGCAAGGATGATACATTTGATCAGTTTGTTGCTTTTGTGAAGAAAGAACAGAGAAGAACGGGTAATCAGCTAGTCCACCTAAGGTCAGACCATGGAACTGAGTTCGAAAACTCAAAATTTGATGAGTTCTGTGATGAACATGGAATGGACCACAACTTCTCAGCCCCTAGGACTCCACAACAAAATGGAGTTGTTGAACGGAAAAATAGAAGCTTGGAAGACATGGCAAGAACAATGCTGATTTCCAGTGGACTACCTAGGAACTTCTGGGCAGAAGCTATGAACACAGCTTGTTACATATTGAATAGAGTCTCTATTCGAGCAATAACCAACAAAACACCTTATGAGCTAATAAAAGGAAGAAAGCCAAATATCTCTTACTTTAGATCTTTTGGTTGCAGGTGCTTTGTACACAATAATGGGAAGAGAAACTTGGGAAAATTTGATGAAAGGAGTGATGAGGCTGTGTTCTTAGGATATGCCTCAAATAGTAAAGCTTATAGAGTTTACAACAAAAGAACAATGTGTGTTGAAGAGTCTGTACATATATTTTTTGATGAAACTTACTATGTGATTGATGTACAGGATGATGATGATGATGATGATTTCGAAATAGGGTTGATAAGAAGACATGACCCTGATGAGGAATCAACTGCATCCATGAAGCAGCAAGACAAGAATTCTACTGTAACACCCCAATAATTCTCTCTTTAAACCTGTGAGGACCCTGAACAATATTCAAGAGAATTACTGGCGTGTTACCGCCACGTGTTCAAACGTTAAGGCTTTATCAGAAAATAGCAGCGGAAAAACTAAATCAGTTATAAATAAGTTTCAAACCAACGAATGAAACCAAATTAAGTCATACAACTTGGAACCATTAAGGCCCTTATTCAAAACCCAATAAAAGTAGTAAGTCATTAAATTCAGTGTTCAAATAAATTCAAACCCAAAAGAAAAATAGTGTCGAATAAAATCGAATTAAAATAAATTCAAACTTGCAAAAGAAATAAAATGCAAACAACCAACTCTCTACTCAAGATCCCACAGCCCTAATGAATGCTGCATGTGTAAGAACCTGTGGTAATTCTGCTCCCCAATATTACAAGTGTAAAAATTGGATCGTCACAGGGTCATTGAAAGGCGAAGGCCATGACCAAAGAAAGACACACAAAGCACGCAATCAGCAAAGCTGAGTACATACAAGCTGCGAAATAAATTAAGAAATCCATAACATGCTACTAATAATCAATCATCATGCATCATTAAGTTATAGACTCAACACACGACTCAACTATTTATATTACTAAGACACCATTAATTAATAATAGGTAAATCATTATTTTTATTCATTGGATTACGCAATAGACAAGGTTGTCCAACCCATGCTCCATTTGGAACATCAATAAAAGAAAAACCTCATGCCTCCTTTCGGAAACATCACTAAACATCCAACGACCACGGGCGCGACTCCGTGACCGTAGTTAGTATGAGATCTCACCTAACTCATAGTTTTGAAAAATATTTGAAATAAGAGACTCGTAGATCAGACGGCCTCGAGAAAAGTACATGGCTAATACCCCATGTACCCCAACCCCTGATTGTCATTACTCCAGAAGTGCACCATTCCAGAGTTTTATTGCTCATCCATCTTGCACTTTACGTGATTTACAGGTTTAGACTTGGTGATGACTCATATGCATAACAATACAATCAATTCGATATCAATTCAATCAAGTAAAACAACTTTTCAATTTCAATTCTTGATTTATTAGTGGCAAGCAACATTTATTATTTATTCCTTTACTACCTCGGTGTATAAACACCTTGAGTGCATAAGGCACCCCAAAACCTTAACCTCGTCTTAGAAGACTTAAATTCTTCCTTTACTCATCCTGCTTGCATAATCATGAATGAGTAATAAATTAATCATTACACCAATCATATACCTTTGCCACTAAGCGCACCTTGCATAATTAGAGCAAAAATAATACTTGCAATATAAAATAGTGCACGTCATACGAAATTCACAATGTATAACCAAACAATTTAACTCAGTCATCCCTATACATGATACTAAGTTCTCGATCCGTCGTCCTTAAACATGCACCTAAAAGAAAGGTTTCGTAACTTGTACGTACCTTGAGCAAACGAATTGGTATGCCACTTTACTAACTAGAAATCACCTTCAATAAACTCCTCTCCTAAGCCAAATAATAACATCTCAATCAATACCCAATCAATTAAATTTACAGCAATACTAACTTACTTTAAAACCTTCAAAATCCAAATCAAACAACACTTTAAAACCTTCCCTTTAGTTAAAATTAAAGGCTTATATATAGTTCTTTAAATTTTCTTCATAAAAACCTTAAAATACACTCTTATACATGAAATTACAGCAAGTTCAAAGTCTAATAAAAATCTGAAAATTATATAAAACCCCCTAAAAATCTCCCTTTTTATAAAACATTAAAAGTAGTACTTAGAAACTATTTTCAACACTTAAAACTTCAATAAAAACATATATTTATGCTTAATTAACTTTAAACATAATTAATTTTATTAATCAAACTCAAGGATAATATTTTAAGTATAAAAAAAACTTCGTTAAAATCAAAAACTGCCCGAAAATCGTATTTAAGGCACCCCTTGCAGCCACATCATATCTCCTTTTGCCTTTCTAATTTACAAATCCTTTCTTCATAAACCACTTTGAGCCTCGTCTAACGATAGACCTTTGTTTTTTAACCTACATCTATCTAACCTTGGGATGGGATGGTGTGCAACTTTTGCAATTCTAAAAAAAAAGCTTGAGTGATTTCAAAAGATCAAAATAAATAGCAAAAATAAGCATAAGCAAAAAATAAATAAAAGTGTACAAAAGGGCAAGTGTTCCAATGTCTTTGATATGAAAATATCTTCGATAAGAACACGTCTCAGATTGCGTCTCTTATCGAGTGCTCGGTACCGTGCCTGAGAAACATGAATGCCAAGTGAGTGATAGACCACATGATCGAGATTGCCCACACTTATAAAAATAAAATAAAAGCTAAAGCAAAAAGAGCTAAAAAGAGTAGAAACCTCAAGCATAAAAATACAAATATTCAAAAGCAAGGATGCACACCTTGGGGGCTTATCTAGGGTCTTGAGCCTTTATCCCCTTCTTCTTCAATCCTTTAGCCTAACCACGTTACAACCCTTAAAAAGACCTTTTTGAGGTATACACACTTGTGCGAGGTTTGGCTAGAGCTACATTCGGCCTGATTCCTAACAGATATGTAGGCAACCTTACATCGAGGTGCGACCGTAATAAAAATGCATTCATATTCATATTCACACACTTGCACCATGATCATATCAAGGAATTCCCTATGCTCATCCCTTTTCATTTAGAGCTAGACTTGGGGGCTTGATCCCTATATTATTAGCTTACCTAGCCTAAGAGCCACCACCATTTGACTCTTTTCAATAATATCTTTTCACACACTTAGCTCTTGCGGCCTAGCTTTAGTGTCACTTTCACACACTGCTCAGATACATGACTAAATATATTTCCCTTAGGAACCCTTTGTCATGAAATCTTAATACAACGCTGAAGCATGCCTTGTCATATCAAAATTGCTCATCAATCGTAATCATCATTGCATCACGAAGTATGAAGTGCTTAGCCTCCGTGCCTAAGTTACCCAAATACTTTCATCATTGAGTCAACCATTGAGATAGCCTAGGATGAATTAATCCTTGAACCTTGAGAGATAGTATCAAACAACATTTGACTAAGCTCATTCAACATGCATCTTCAAACTTTTGATTTTCTTTTTCACGTCTTTCTTTTTCGGGAGAAAGTTGGTACCCTCCACAATTGACGGAAAATTTTTGCTTTTTTGCTTTTTTTGAGTCGCACAATTACATTACAATGCACACACGAGTCATGTACACATTGAGTCATGCCGTGTCATATCACTTTGATTTGAGTCTAACACATGTGTCATTACACTTTGAGTCGAGTCAATCTCGAGTCAGTCAATCACAGAGAGTCAAGTTTATACCTTGAGTCGTGTCGAGTCGATGAGTCAAGCAATGTTAAGCCTTAGGTCAACCCTAAGATAATTTAAGAAATTGGCAAAGTTCTATAGTCAAAAATAAATACAGGTCCAGCAGAACAGGGAAGACCCTACTTCAACGCCTGGT